CTTACGGAGAATTTCACAGTCAAGCAAAGTTCAAATAGCCTATTTAAGAAATACACATATCTGTTGATTTTTATTTTTGTATCTGTCAATAAATGAATTTTCTAAGGAATTGATGGATTTTATTTATAAACTGATATTATTTAGAAATAATAAAACATCGAGTGACCAATGGAAGACACAAAGAAAACTCCTTAGTCAATATAATAGCTTCACAAGAACATTTAGTTTTTAGTATCTGCACCAACCAAAACAGTCATTACAGATTTATAATTTCTTGACCTTTCCATAAGTACTTACCTGACGACAAGGGTATGCTGCCCATTATGACAGAGCTAACAAATGCTGTACAGAGGAGATCAAGACGCAAGGCCAACCATCGGGTGATAGCAATAAATAGGAACCATGCCTCTGTATGGATATCTTGAAAATTATCAAATTCCTCCAAGAACCTTTCCTGAGCATTGAAGGCTCTGATGGAGCTTAATCCTTGTAGAGAAGCATTAATTTGTGAGAAGACAGGACTACGAGCTGAAAAAAACAAAAAAGAAAACAGAAAAATAAATTTTATATTCATTCAAAGATTGCATGTTAACCTGCATTTTATGTTGATTTTCTAAGCAGAGCTTAGATGTGGCACAAGGCTGAAAATATGGGGCAGTGATCAAACTCACTATTCAGTCGTAATTGATCTAACAAGACAAGCTTGCTAACTGTTACACCATGTCGAAGTGCCCTGGTGATTTTCTAAGAGTAACTTAGATGTGGTACAAGGCCATACAAGGTATGGAACACCTAGTGATGATCAAACCTTTTGATGAAGTGCCCAAATGATCTTATAAACTTAGCTGAGATGTAGCACAAGGCCAAAGATATGTAACATATAGTAAGGATCCAACTTACTACTCATTCATAACTGATCTAGTAAGACAAGTTTGTTAACCATTACACAACATTGAATTGCCCAAATGATTTTCTAAACATAGCTTAGATGTGGCCCAAGGCTGAAAGTATGGGACACCCAGTGAGGATTGAACTCACTATTCAGTAGTAATTGATCTAGTGAGACAAGAAAATAGAAACAGAAATGTGTTAAGTGAACAATGTCAGATTAATTACTTGCCACTGACAAAACGAGGCATTAGAATTGTGAGTAAGCAGGCCATATAAAAAGTCAGAAATAAGGACGGATTCACCATTTTTTTAATGTTGGAACAATACATTTTTTGGTGGACAGTTCATAAAACAGACCAGAGTCAAATGAGAGAGGAGAAGAAGGTGACAATAACTTGCCAGCCAAGAAAATGCAGAGAGAAAGAGAGAGAGAGTGTGTGTTCAGTAAAGGTACATTACTTCCTGGCAAGGATAAAGGTATACAGGTGAGTTTGATTCTTTTGTTCTTGATCACAAACTACAGTTACTTGAGTATCTACCTCAATCAATAGACATTCTGTGGATTCTGGTAACACTTCAGTGTCTGTGGATCCTGGCAATTCACCAGTATCTGTGGATGCTGGCAATACTTTAGTGTCTTTGGATCCTGGCACCTCTTCAGTGTCAGTAGATCATGTCACCTCTTCAGTGCTTGTGGATCCTGGCAACACTTCAGTGCCAGTGGAATCCTGACAAATTATCAATACCTGTAGATCTTGGCAACTGTTCAATACCTGTGGGTCCTGGTAACCTATCAGTACCTGCGGACCCTGGCACCTTTTCAGTGTCAGTGGATCCTGGTAACTATCAAAGTTGAAAAGTACAACATCTGAAACATAATTGTAATAACAAAGATGAGGATAGTAGTCTGCATGTAAATAATAATTCCTCATCCTAGAAATTCAAATAGAAATTACACGACTCTACTGATGACGAAACTCCTGTAGTGTCTTATTTTGTCCCTTACAGTAGCTGCTACTGATTTTTATAATAATTTCTACTAATTCAAAATAAGCAGCTGTTTTAAGTTTCTTAACACAGATACACACCAAAGTGCACAATAAAACTGCTACTTATGATTGAACCTTTATAGATCCTTACTTAATTTACTAGAATGTCTTATGTCCGCAAAGAGAAACCAACAAAGTCAGACCTAAAATGAATGCAATTTTTTTTTCTTTTCAGTTATGCTTTCAGCATGAAGCAGACATTTTGAACTTTTTTTTTGGTGAAAATAGCCTGTAAGATGGTGTCAAGAAATTTAGTAACTGGAAAGTTTATAATTGTGGGTATTTTAATCTTACTTATTATAAAATGCAGATTGTATGTGTGTGTGTGTCTGTATGTTTATATATTGGATCGGATTTCCTACATTTTTCAACCGATTTCAACAAAACTTCATAGGACTGCATAAAATTACCTTCCGGTGGTTCTGACAGCACCAAAAATTGGAAAAACACAATTGTTTTTGCGCGATCAAGAGGCATCACGAGAATGAAAGGGGGAAACTCATATCGAGTTATACTTATTATAAAACCCAGTTTGTTTGTGTGTGTGTGTGTGTGTGTGTGTGTGTGTGTGTGTGTGTTCGTTTACATATGGGATCGGATTTCCTACATTTTTCAATCGATTTCAACAAAACTTCACTTTTTTTTGGCAGGTAGTGTTTCTTATTGTCTTGCACACTTTTTTCATTATTTTTACATTCAGAATGCTTTAAAAATTCCATTTACAAGACAATTGTTTATAATAAAATTCTATTCAATTGGTAGACTCATAATGATTGAAAACAAAGTTTTTGTTTTAGTTTGGGTTTGACCAATTCGTAAAAAAAAAACAAAAAAACAAAACTAATTAAGACATGCGTGTCCGTCAACCTTAAACAATAATCTTTGTCAATTTTATTTTTCAATCTTTATGATGGTCGATACTTGATCTATCTCTTACTGTTACATCCCCAGGCAACGCCAGGCTCTACTGCTAGTAAATTCTAAAATTACATGATGAGATGGTCAATGGTAGATTGTAATCGAAAGCTGAAGATTTAAGATTTCAGACTAGGTCGTAATTCTAATATTTAATCATTGTAATCTGAAATTAGATTAGTAGTAGGTTTAATGAAGAGGATAATTGAACAAGTTAATGTTATTTGTCTAGACTTAGAATAAAACAATATAAAACCCATATCTTCTTGGCTTCAGTTCAAACTGATGCTTTCTTTTTCCCATATATTGTCACTTTTGTGCATAAATTGTATATTTTTTTGATTTCAAATGAAAACTTGAAAATTTTCCAACATATTTTTACTTTCTGAAATCGTAATTTATAATTATAGTTTAGGTATGTGAAAAAAAAAGGCTTTAGTTTAAATTGACACCAAGAGGGACTTGTGATCACCAAACAATTTAAACTTCTTAATTTAGTTAAATAAAAATAAATCCCAATGTTACTTACCAACAGTTTCCAATCGTTTTACACTTCTTGAAGTGCGTACATAATATTGTCGTAGGAAAATGAATAAGCACACCATGAAAAAAGTAGGGATGAATATCCAAGGATTAACAAATCCTGTGACAAACACGACACTCATGGTTAGAAAGAAACACTAAAAGAAATAGAAAGGAAAAAAATATTAAAAAATGAGATCATGTTATAACTCACTCCTAGCAGTTATAATATTATGTCTTTGCTTAGGCTACTTGCTGTGACATCATTAGAATTCTTTCCAATTGACTCCAATGAATATCTCTTTACTCACTTTGAGTTCTTTATTTAAGGCATCTTGCCTAGTTCATTTGTGTTACCGGTTATGTCTTATTTACTCCACAACATCATCTCTTCTGAGATTTCTTTTTCTTTTTTTTTACACACACCAAAGAAAAAAAATTAAACCAATATTGTTCTGATTTCTCGTTGTCACTGTTATCATCAGCACCAAAGCAAAAAGTACTTTTTCCTACTCTGGATAAGTTTTGATTCCTCATTGCCACTGTTATAACTCACTCCTAGCGATTATAACAATATGTCTCATTTAGGCTACTCATGGCAATGTCTGTTAGAAATTCTTCTCAACTAAAAATAGACTAACTCAAAACAGAGTTACCCTGACTCACTTTGAGCCCTTTATTTAAGGCATCTTGCCTAGTTCATTTGTGTTACTGGGGGTGTCTTATTTACTCCATAACATAACCGAAAATGGAAAAATGAATCACTGGATTTTCAAAAATTCAGACATTTTTCTGATAGAAACTGATTGGAATTTTACTCTGTTTTTCAGATGAAATATTTTTAGAACATTCCTTTATTATATCTGCACATTTATAAAAAGATATATATATATATATATTTAAAAATTTTGTATTTAGACAGAAATCCTTCTTTCATGCAAGTTTTATTGAATATGACAAGGTGCTTTAATTATGTTTTTTTAAAAAACTTAATCAAATCACCTTGTCTGTCATATTCAATGAAACTTATATATATATATATATATATATATATATATATATATATAAAATAGTGTATTTCAGAAGCAGTCCCCCTTTCATACAAGTTACATTAAAGACAATTGACAAGGTACTGCAATTGACTTTCTTATTCAATTTTATTTTGTTAGTATAACTAATTTCTTTTCTGGACTAAAATGTCCAATTGTTCTATATATCAGAGACTTTTGGCTTTTCTATTAGCCCTTTTCAAGGATGTTTGTATTTTTTCTAACTGAATGTGTAGATTTTTATGTTTCTCGAGTGATGGAGTGATGCAAGATCAAATTACAGAGAATCAACATCATTTATGAATTCACATATTCTTTCCTGATCAAACCACATTCATGAATAAATGTATTGGACAGACCACTATAAGAAAACTCACATTACACCTCTCTGACCAAAGCTCAATTAGGGCTCATTTAATATTTAAATAGATATGGAAACCTAACAGATTCAGTTTTTTAGGGCAATTCATTATAGATACCTGTAAAAAATCCATTCCATTCGCAGGTAAGATGTCATCAATCAATCCCATATCTTTGGAAAATCGATTTAAGATTCGACCTGAAGTAGCAAAAATTGTAGATATAGAAAATTAATATAAACTGTTTATGTAAGACATGAAATCAAAAACATGATAAAATAATTAAAGATTCAGGAATAGGATTTTGTAGCAAAGTCGAATCCAACAGTGTAAGGGACGCAACTCTTTCCGTCTGAAAATGTCTGACACGCTGCCATGCAAAGCAATGTACACCAAACATGGGTGTAATGCCCTTCTGCCAATTTCTCCAAGCGACCTGCTTTTATGGAGCCCAGACACACCTCATTAGCATGCGTGTAACGCGACTTTGCGTGACTGCACAAGACCATGAATATTAAAATGTCACGGACGCCATCTTGGATCTTTTTTTTCTTTTCTCAATCCACAGGCCAGACAGATGCGAGGGCATTTGGGAGGTAAGCCATTTCTATTTTACCCCACAGATTTAGAATAAAAGAGAAAGCGATACAGTGACATGATAAATTCTAGTGGTGAGAAACAACAAAAACCATTTTATATTAGCATCAATTACATTCAAAGCTCAGTATACACATATGTTAATACTCTGACCATTCAGCCACACACCCATTTGAAGTGTTAGTGTTTTGACCATGGAATTCGGGTTTCAAGTCTCACCATGATCAATTACTTAAGAAATTGATGTCTTGGCAACATTGTACTGGGGAGATGATCAGGGCATGCAATAAAGTTGAGATGTGCCTCAAAATATAACTACAAATAACCCAAGCCTTGTGAGAGTAAATTGTTCAGAAGTGATCAATCTACTTCCATGCTTAGTCCCACCGTCTCTGATCTTTACGACTGGGGCCTGCCATGCCATGTATACAAATATAAATCATTCCTATTCCCTTTGTATTCCATTAGTAAGGAGGAAGTTCCATTTGGATAGATTTTTCCTAAGAACTGCTGCTTTGTGGAACAGACTCCCGGCAGGATGTTTTCCCAGTCACTACAATCTTGACCTCTTCAAGTCTAGGATTAACTGTTATCTTTCCTGTCTTTATGAACTTCATGTCTTGTTCTTTCTTACTCTCATACAGCATGTGGCAAAATACCTCCCACATAATAGCAAGACATTAGTGACAATGATGTCTTCAGCAAGCTAATGTCTTACCATTATATGAAAGATATTTCTGGGAGGTGTATGTTGGAAGTATTTCTGCTGTATCCTATACAACAACATACAGTAACCCTCTACCTTGTGTTGTTCTTGAGCCATGTATTGGGTGAACATTAGTATATAAAAATAAAACACCCATCCTCCAGCATTATGTTTCTTACTGCTAAAATTTGCTGTTGCTGCAGAGACGCATCAGTCAATATAAACACCCAATGACCGAAAGTCTTAAATCACGAGTTGTGCAATCAAAAGTCTGAGAACCTGCAAGTAGGCAGATTCTCAAACTTTTTTTTTTACCAATTCTTTTGCTACCAATTTAATTTTATTCTACATCCAGCAATAAGGCCTCTGATCGAGAGATTGGAAGTTTTAAAGAGTGTGGAACCACCTCTTAATTGCAGCTGTTCCCAGGTCCGCCTGCAGACAACAGTGAACCCTTAAACACTATAAAAGCATAAAAAATATTTGAATAGTAAAAATACTAGCAATACATTTTTATTTAAAAAAAAATTAGCAACAGTACATATTTATAGTAGAATTACCAACAATACATTTTTATAGCAAAATGACCAAAAATATATTTTATCTTTAGTTGATCATCTTGGGTATGACAATAAACTACAGGAAATGGTAGCACCTGTTAATGTCCCAGCTCTGGGCAAATAGTGAACTCTCAACTAAAAGTCAACAGTACACTTTCATAATGACCAACAATACATTTTTATAGCAAAATGAATGCAAAACCAAAAAAATATAAGAATACATTTTATAGTAAAATTACAAACAATACATTTTATGATCTACAAAATATATATCTAAAAAAACTTCATCATCACCATTTGACCATAATCAGTATCATTGAACCAATGCAAACAATCCTTTTTTTTAACTGTATGGTATGTGCTATGCCAGGGCTACATGCAGTTTTGAATTCAGAGTTCCTTTCTCTTGGATCGGTTGCACCCAAAGCTATAGAACCCAGTCTGTCATGCTATTTGCCCATAGCTGAAGGGGGGGGCATACTTTTCCCAAGGGTATTAGCATGTAAGTGAATATAATGGATCCAAATGGAATTTGAACTCGGCTCTCTGATTCCTCAATCTGAGCTGCTATCTATTACTCCACCATGCCTCAAACATACCTTTACACTGAAAACATAAAATTACAAACAAAATATTTAGATTTCAGAATTAAATAACCCATAGAGATGTTGATATGCCATAAATCAAAATCAACCAACTTTAGACATTTCTTATACTAAGAAACATTTCTGGTACTTGGGGGAGAAAATTAGTTTTTGTTTGAGGTGTGGTGTGGTAGTGGTGGGGGGGTCAAGACCTGCAAACATTTATTGTTGGTTTGCATTAAAACTTGTTTTAATGCAAACCAACAATGAATGTTTGCAGATCTTGAAAGTAACAGGTAAGTCATTTTTTTTTCTAAATCTATTTCCAGATTCTCTGTCATTCTTATAACAGACAGTGATACAATTATGCCATCAACCATCATGAATTTAGACTAAGATTTTGTTTCTGTTTGAATTTCTGGCATGATGAGATATCATTATTTGTGTTCAGAATAATGTCTTTGCTTTTATTATCACATTGTTTCAACTGTTGTGCCTTCTGGCCTTCTTCAGGTGTTGTTGATCTGAGACAATAGCCTAGTGGATTAAAACATTGGTTTGTGAGTTCAATCCCAGAGATGGCTAGTGCAGACTCAGTGAAAACAAGACAGGCAGTAACTGAATAATACTATTAGTATATTATTATAATATATTATATTTTCATGGTAATTGTTCTGATGAAATTTTCTCTATGGTCAGTTAGTCAAGTGCCACGTTTGATACACACTTGGGCGATCATGTTTTTTTCGATTCATGACAGACTAGGCAAAAGATTTTTACGCAGTAGGTTGCCATTTCTTTCTGTGGTAGACTGGTTGTCAACTAAGGCTATAGAACTCAATCTGTCTTCCTATTCAACCCATATCTGGGGGAAAAGAGATTGAATCATACCATTTCCCAAAGGTATTTGTGCATAAGTTAATGTAACAAACTCAACTGGAATTCAAACTTGGGTCCCCGGTTTCTCATACGGAGCCAATATTCAAGGTACTTCTGTGGTACTTAAACTTTATGAATTTAAGTGCAGCACTAGATTGGCCACAAGGTCTCACCATTTTACAGCTGAAATTGCTAGATGTAAGTTCTATACTAACAGTTTCTTCTCTTGCACTTCTTGCTTGTGGAAGTTTGCATCCCAGTTAACTTTGATTTTAATTCTTGTTCTTTTATTGTTCTTTCTCCTTAATCATGTTTTTCTTTTTCTAATATTCCTTTCACACTCAGTAATCCCTTGTGTCTTAGTGGCTTTATTGCCTTGCTTGGGGGTGAAATGATTTTTTTAAAATAAAAATGGTCAGAATACATTTTTTCCAAATATTGGAGGATATGGTAAGGGTGAAATTAATCGTTTCCATACAAGAAACATTTGCATTTATCAACCAAACAGTTAGCATTACTATCAGTTGAAATTTACAAAATCCTTCTCAAATCTACTAAATGTTAATGTTGAATGTTGATGGGAGTTTCCTTGCAAACCATTTGTTTTTGGTTGTGTGGAAAATTAACACCTTGATTATATCATTATTTTCCTTTTCCGTTACTGTATATACTCAAGTACAGTGTGAGTTTTTATGATCAGTTTTTTTATGCAAAAAATACAGCGTTGCACAATGCACAGGTAATTTTTTTGAAGAAGATAAAAATAATGCATGTAAACATGTAAATGTTTTTCTGGAGGGGTTAAAATTAATGTAAAAATATTTAGGGGTCACACTTACATGAAACTGACTTAAACACAAGTATATATAGGACATGTGCTACGCAGTTTTGTTGTTGCCATTGGAAAAGTTCAGGTGATGTGTTTTTTGTTATTTGGTCAATCCCTTTATGATTCTGTAGCACCAAATGAACGATTGCCTTCTTTATGACCTAAAAAGGATTCTTTCAGGAAGAAAACCATGTTTGATCTTCAGGAATTCTTGGAGGTTAATTTGTGATAACACATTTTGAATCTATTCCTTCACATTGCAGTAACTTCCAGAAAAATGTCAATGAGACTGATTGATTTGTTTCATTTGTGACATTAAGGTGGTTAAATATTAATTCTAGGCAGGAAAAGAAAAGGGTTAAAGACATAAATTGAAATATAAAGCTTGGAAAAAAAGAGAGACAAAAAGTGGAACATTTTCCTTGGTGAGAATTTGTCTGATTTTTAAACAAAAAAATTAAAGTTTATTTTTCTTGTCTAGTGAGAGACTGTTTAAAAACAAACAAAAACAGATTTTGGGGATTTAAATTTATCTCCTTCTTGGAGAAATTAAGAAAACACATGTCACTGGTGAGAAAGCAGATGAGAATTATATTTTTATTAGTGAATATAATCAAGAAATGGAAACAGAGTATGAACTCACTGCACAGATGCAAAAAATGATAAAATTAATTTTGTTTGATATTCCATTTTGATTTTTAAATTTATTTAGTTAGGGATGAAAAACAGAGAATCTCAATTGATGAATTTAGGTAAAAAAATATATTTTCATGGATTTCCACAATGAAAACAGATTATTTTTCCTAAAAAAATTGAAAACATATATTATTTTTGAATGGATTCTCAGATGTTTTATTTTTTTTTTCATGAAATAATTTTCTTTTTTGGAATGAAAAAATTTTTAAAAAATTATTTGAAGTTGAAACAACTCATAAAATGCCAAGAAGGTTATAAACAGTTTGTGAAAAAAAGGAGTTCAAGATTTTCCGAAATTAATGAGAAGTTTAATACATTTATTTAAATCCTAATGAAAACAAAAAATTAT